GGTCGCTCCCGAAAAACGGTGCGCCGTCCTGGCGCCGCAGCCTGGTCAGCGCCTCCAGGCTCTCTTGGCTCTTTGGCAGCCGGAGCACAGTCCTCTTGACCTGCACTCGCGGGGGTGCACCACCATGCTGTGCTCGAAGCCCAGATCTACTTGTGGCTGCCAGGGACGGGCCCGGCGGCAACGCAAGCTTCTGCTACGGGAGGCTTCGTGCGCAGATTCAAAATTGCTCCATGTCCAGCTTGTGCTGGTCCCGACGGCGGCGCTGATGAGCCTCAGCTTCTGCGAGCTCACCCAGGTGCCGGCCCCTGATGAACAGCGTATTGGGCCTCCGTGATCTTGCGCTTGCTCCTGTTCGGTGTTCATTCCCAGGCTCTTCGATGTACTTCTTGACGGGGATCCAGCCGTCATCGATGTCGATGGACGGGCTAAAGATTAGATTCTTTCAAACGCCGTGATACTGCTCCAGAATCAGGCTGATCAGAGTCAGGTTTTGCCCGATTTTAATGGCCCGAGGAAAATGCCCGTGCGCGGAACCAGTGACACCACGGTCAGAGGATTGTTTGCTGTGTATTCAGGCACAGGAAACAGCTTGGTCTTCCCCACCTTTGCGTTATCTTGCCAAATTTGAAGCCGGGAAGCCGGCGGCGAGCTATACAGCAGGATGCCGGGTAGCGTAAGGAGGCACTTACTTACACTTTCGAGCAACCTGCCATCAATGCCAGAGACGCTGCGAATCAGAGGTCGAAATATCATCAACAGTGATGACGGTTTGGGGCCACTCGTCCAGCTTGTCGCCCCTCGGTGCATGCTTTGGGATGCACAAGCAACCGGACCGGGCGTTTGTGCCCATGCGGATGTGGCAGGACGGGCCAGCGAGGGAAGACGGGCTTCCACTCACCGCCCTGACTGCGGTGCTAGCGGGCGATAGGCTCTCTGTCGTTTGGGCGCTGACATAGTTTTTGCGGGCAATCCGGGCGGCGACCCCGGAAGCGCCATGCGATATAGCACGCGCTTCCGGAGTTGGGCAATCCTGTTGCCAGCGCAGGATTGATGAGGGCAATCCTGTGCCCAACGCAGGATTGATGGCAAAGCGAGTGAATGGTGAAAAAAACACAACGAGGACGGCATCACTGACGGACCTTCGGCGCTGGCCCGGTGATGGGTTTTTCGGGCAAAATACCGACGGTGGCGCCTTGAGCCAATTTTGGTTCAACGTGCACCCCGGGTGGCGCGGCCGGGAGGCTTCTATGCCGGGCAGGTGGCGCGCTAGGTATCGAAGCCTCCACGTCGGCGGGCTGGCGCGATGTCGGGAGGAATGTGATGCTGGAAAGCATAAGTGGCACTTATGCTTTCGAAGCGGGCTCCTATGCCGGGCAGGTGGCGCGGCCGGGAGGCTCCGATGCCGGGCAGGTCGCCGAAACTTGAGACAGTTGTCGGCTTAGACGACAACCTCGACATTTTTTTTCGCTGGGAAGAATTCCGACCTTGGCGCGGGCTCGGCAGGGCTCCGATGCCGGGCAGGTGGCGCGGCCGGGAGGCTTCTATGTCAGGCAGGTAGCGCGGCAGGGTGGCGCGCCCAGAGTGCCAAACCGCCACTGTATGACCGTATGATCCGTATGATCCGTATGACTCGGCGGGCTGGCGTGTCAGGTGGCGCGGCTGTGATGCTCGAAAACACAAGTGGCACTTGTGTTTTCGAAGTGCCTCGGAACTGGAAACAGGCACCAACCATTTTTTGGTTGCTGCCCGCGTGGAGTTCCGCGTGGAGTTCCCCTCAATCCTGGGGTGACAACAGGATTGAAGGAGGCAATCCTGGGGTGACAACAGGATTGAAGGAGGCAATCCTGGGTCGTTGAAAAAGCAGTCAGGTCCAGGTTGTCAAAGTGGAAGTTGCTTGACTTATGGGACCAGTTTGCTGAGAGATGCGTGAAAGATGGCAGAAATTCTTTCAACATAATTTCTTTGGGTACAGCTGCCGAAGCAAAAGCTCTTAGCAGCAGAAGAAATGTATTTAACAAGGACGAATTTTTGAAGTTCCTCCGGAGGGTTGCTTGTGTGTACAATTTCAAGTGATTTTGCTGGCCACGCTGCGCAAGGGGTTCGCCTGCGTGGCCCCATTTCGGCTCAGCAAATTGGGGTGACAGCGACGAGCAAAAAGAGTGCTCACATACACAAATCAAAAGCATGCGAAGTATAAGGCATCATGTTGTTGTGCTGAGTAAGCGCGCCTGCATTTTTTACAAGAGTTTGTTTGGTGCTGAGGAAGCGCCTTTTACTTGTTATTATCTACTGGTTACTTGTGCTGAACAAGCGCGGGACTATAACACCCTTTTTCCATGATCATTGCAGTGGTCATTGCAGTGAAAGCCGAGGTGTTTGGGTTTTGCCGCCCATCGCAGCGCAAAGGCTTGGAGGGCTTGGAGGGCGTATGCTGTCAAAAGAGTCAAAAGGTGCTGCGTAAGCGCTCAGTTTTTTTCAACTGACGCATCAGGAACCTTTTTGTCCTTGTCGTTCACGCTCATTGGCGTGGTGCCCGGGGTGCTGAATTAAGCGCTCAATGCGCAATCTGATTGATGATGCCAGGGGTGCTGAATAAAGCGCCTTACTGTTCCCGCATTCATCTTCCGGGGAGGGGGGGGAGTTTCAGTCACATTTGCAAAGTGATTATACCTGCTAGATTTTGGCTGCAGAACCGTCATGGCAAAGAAGGGTCAGGCGAAGGCGAAGGGTCAGCCGAAGGTGAAGGCGGCTGCAGCGGTGGCAGTGGCCGCCAATGCTGAGGCGGTGGCAGCTGAGCCAGTTATGAACTTGGCGAAGCCTTCAGGCATTGTGGCGGATGTGAACCAACGCCACCTTTCCAACTTGGAGGACGCTTTGCAGGCCATCATGGCTCATCCTCTCTTCAGCAACATCATGCACGAGACCCCACCCAAGATTGACAAGGACGCTGCAGGCAACGAAGGTGGAATGCAGGCTGGTTTCTGAAAATTTGAAATCGTAATTTAATTTCCCAGTTTTTTGATTTGTTTCCAATGCCACGACTGACGGTGTGCAGCAATTATAACCACCGTCCATTCAAGAACTTGATTTTTAGTGTGTAATAGATTATGATTATTACACATTTACTGAAGAGAGATGACATATCAATCACATGAACATACTCTACAGCAAACAAAAGCACCTTTGATGCAGTTAGTAAGTTTCAAATACTCAATAAATACACTGATCGCGCGCACGAATCGTGCCCACTGAGGTCTGTGCATCGTGCGCGCACGCCTGTGTGTCGTGCGCGCTGGCTTCTCTATTCGTAGTAGATTGCATCGTGCGCGCCTGCTTTTCTGTGCAGGCGCACGCGCACGATCGCAAAGATTTAGTTTTGTTACTTCAGGAAAAGGCTGCAAACTTGCCGGACCCCCTTGAGAGACTCAGGGCATCTGCCCTGCCTCCCTCAAACAAGGGTGCGCGCGCGGGGTTGCTGAGAGCTACTCCTGGACCCCCTTTGAGAGAGGCAAGGCAGACGCCCTGTCTGGCTCAAACACCCTTCCCAAGTTTTGCCGGCAGTCTCTCAACAACCCCGCGCGCGCACCCCTGTTTGAGGGAGGCAGGGCAGATGCCCTGAGTCTCTCAAGGGGGGTCTCCCAAAATTTGTAGTTTTTAAATTTGTGCTTTTGGTTTTTGTGTTCTTTTTGGGGTTGATTGAACACCTCCCTTTGCGAGGCACCATGGGACGCTCAAGACCACGAGTCAGCCTTGGCATCCACGGGAGTTTACGTGGCTGCCGGGAACATCTTCTGGTGCAACCTCCGGAGCCTCAACAGCCCCAATGTTCCAATGAGTGACAAAAGTCTTGAGCTTCAGTACAACTACTATGAGGGGACCGGGCCTGAAAAATTGCGGGAGGAGATCGTGATTGTCGTTGACAAGGGAATGAGCGCTGCGCAGTTTCAAAGGGACCAGGTTCAGGGAAAGTTGACGAGAGTTTCACCGGAGGAACTAGATCATTCCCTGGTGATGTATGTTGCTGATCTTATCAGAAACGGGTCGGACGATTCGACGCTGCAGTGGCTTGTCTCCTCTTTATTGCAATTTAAAGTTTTCCGACTTTGATGTTCTTAGATGTTTCCATGCGGCTTTTTTCAAGTGCATGTGCTTTGAATTTATGTTTGAGTGTTTTGCCCATGAAAGTACCTGTGGTGCTTGAGGCAATGGAAGCAAGTAATGCTGAATGTCAGCACGCGGGTCGAAGTCACCACCGGCTATGAACAGCGTTTCTGGAAGTCAGTCAATCTTCGCCAGAGATACGCTGGTACTTATGATGCCCTCACCAGGTCCACCATCCAGCAGATCTACGAAGGTGAAATTTAGGGATGAGTTTCAGCCTGGAACTCGGCGTGAAATCGCAGAGGCTTGGCAGGCGAAGGTCACGGATTTGGGCACAATGGTTATTGAGGGTGTGGACTTCAGCTTTGTGGACTCCGCCATTAAGATCCACGACCGCATGCTGTGCTACCCGGACGCCTTCAATGCCATTCAGAAGATGGAGATGGAGTTTGGCAAAGCATCCTGCCTCAACTACATCCGCGTGTTGGAGGTGATTTGCATGAAGGGGAAGGAGCCAGAGCAGTTGTGGATTCTCAACACCATCTTGGACTACATCTTCCAGTTGAAGGAGATCAACAACCGGGACCTCTCAACCCGCGCCCTGCAAGGTACATCGAACACTCGTGGGTTGCTTGATGTCTTCCTCACCAAGCGGAAGATGATGCTGTGGATCACAGATCACTTGGCCTCGAAGAATGTTCCGCCTGAGTGGATCGACGTGATGATGGATCTCCAGACCCATGCCCAGTTTCGTTCCAAGGTTGCAGTGAGTTCTCGTGGCGGCGACGGGTCGAAGCAGCCGGATCAATCTTGGCTGGGAACGGAGCATGAAGTTATTCGGTTGGCCGTTGACATCTTGAAGGCACCATCTTGTGAATTTTTGTGGTCATCGAATTTTGTTTGTCCAAGTTTTCACTTGTTTGTTCACTTTTTGTTGGTCGTCAGTTGATTTTAGCAATGATGTCCCTGTCAGAAAGTGGTCTAGCGCCTTCCATGACCACACCTTGAAGAACTTGCTGAAAGGATCCTCAGCGCCTGCCGACCTCTTTGCAAAGGAGCCCTTCAGCGACATGATGAAAGACTTGAATGCTGCCCTGGATGCGCACATCCACAAGTCCAAAAAGAATGAGGAAGAGGTTGTGGCACCCACCGTTGCCAAGGACTATCTCACCACCTTCCTGCCCGACGGTGTCGAGCACTGCCCTGAGGACCTTGAGGAAGACTTTTCCTCTCACATCCTGGTGGACCGCTTCGTGAAGTTCATTCCAGAATCCAGAATGTTCCAGCAAGTCAGAGTTGGCACAGGCGCTGGATGGCACGGCTGTGTCCAAAAAGCAGCCAGATGGAACAACGGCGTTGGTTGTGATGGACACGAAGACTTGCGGTGAAAGTTCATCGCAGCCGCATCTGCGTTTTCCACAGTTTCGGAGCGTTGTCCTCAAAAACGCCGTCCAAGCTTTCTGCATGGCAAGGAACAAAGAGCAGTTTGATGAGGGTGAGATGTGCCTGCTCTTGGACGGCTCTCGGCAGATTTCCACCTCCATGATGAGCTGCTTTGTTCGTGATGATGGCGCTCACTTTGAGAACAAGACGAGGTCAGAGTTCGTGGTGCATTACGACGAGAAATCGATGAAGGCGCGGAAGCACCTCAGCCGCGGCTTGGTGACCTGTCACGAGGGAATGCAGGTGCTTACCAACGGTGCTTTGAGTTTGCCTGCCAGTCGCACCAGGCTCTACGGTGGAAGCAACATGTCAACTTCCATCGGGCCAGTTGTCCTTGAGCCTGTGGAGAACATGTGGCTGGTGCCAGCTGAGAAGAAGAAGATCTACGAGGGTGGCAACGCGAAAGTCTTGGCTGGTGGCGGGCTCCCAGACGCTCCTGCCAAGACCCAGCTATCCGGAGAGCCAATGACTTACCACGCAATGCCGGTGAAATTCTACCGAGAGCTTCTGCATTCATTCTGCGCAGGTGTGGTTTTTTTGTTTGTGATCCAGATTGGGGCGATGGCAGCGGTTTTGGCTAAAGTTCCTTGCGTGGCCCTGGTCTACACAGCTGAGCATGGAGCTGCGTTGCGGGCAAGGCTGACCGAATTTGTCGTCAACCAGTTCCAGCTGCAAAGCTCGCCGATTTACCGAGTTGCTTTGACACTTGGTAATCTAATTACTGCAGCGTGTATTTTTAGTTTTCTCTTTGATTGTTTTTTAAAAACAAATCGTGTTGGTTGTCGGTTACAGTGGTCATTTTGGTGCTGTGTAAGCGCCGTTTACAAAGGTACTGCACAAGTGCCACTTACATCAACATTATGGTGCTGCGTAAGCGCCGTTTACAAAGGTAGGCGCAAGTGCCACTTAAATTATGGTGCTGTGTAAGCGCCGTTTACAAAAGTTAGTGCGCAAGTGCACAATTGCCTATCTTCTAATTGTGTTGATTGTCCTAGGGCAAATTTGATGAGCAAGATCTCAAAGAATAAGACCGACAAAACCGACACGAACGGCGACGAGGGTCAGGGTGGAGGCCGTGGTGCTGGAGGCCGTGGCCGTGGTCGAGGACGTGGTCGAGGCAACGGCGAAAAGAATCAGAAGCGGAAAGATGATGGTGAGAGTGGCGAACGAAACCAGACCACCAAGAAAGCCAAGACAGATATCATCGATGCGTTGATCAAAATGCAGGATGACAAGGACGAGGAAGAGGCCGACGGTCCTGAGGATGAGGACTTGCCAGCGTGAAAGCTTTAGAAAATAATACCAAAGAGTTGTTGCCAAGATCAGCTCAAAACTTGGGCTTGGAAGCACGGTCAACTAAATTCAGCTGGAGCTTTGCAGCAAACAATACACAATGCAATGCAAGACTGGTCAAACAATACCGAGCAATTTGTCAGTTGACCGGCCCGGCCATCTCCGAGTCAGTCCCCCAGAGACTTTAGGACCCTCAGGTCGCAAATGCACAAGCGAGCTGAAAAAAAGAGGTGCTGAATAAGCGCTTTTGCAGCACTGTTGAAACATAATAAAACAAACATATCATCTACCGGTGGTCCCAAGTGCTGGGCAAGCGCTTAAGAAACAAACACCAATCATCGAAATTCATTCTTGGATCTTTATCTTGTTTAAGTGACAAGCGCTTTTTCAGGTCGCCTTCCTGGTTGTGAGGCCCAAGCCTTGCCCACCGCCAGGTCGCAACGCTGTGGTGACGGTGATGAAGGCCTGAGGGGTGATGGTGCAGTTGCGCAGTTGTCAAAAGTTACCTTGGTGCTGAAGAAGCGCTTTCGCAGCACCGTGAAGTTATTTGGAATGTGAGCTGTTATGTTAATATCATTATACCTTAGTGCTGAAGAAGCGCTTTCGCAGCACCGTGAAGTTATCTGGCACGAGAGCATTGTTAATATTATTACAGCTTAGTGCTGAAGAAGCGCTTTCGCAGCACCTTGAAGTTATTTGGCATGGGAGCATTGTCAAGATTATTATACCTTAGTGCTGAACAAGCGCTTTCGTAGCATCATGAAATTATTTGCACATGGTGCTGAAGAAGCGCTGTGACTTACGCCGCTTTTGCAGCAATTGGATCAAGATGGGCAAGCGCAAACGGTCAGTTCCTTTGACCTTCGGGTCAGCCTGCTCGGGCATTTGTTCTGAGCTTTTTGCGGCAGAGATGCTGGGCCTGGAGGTGCGCCCGGTGTTCGCCTGCGATTGCAACCAACATGTCACGAAGGTGAGCCAACATCTTTGGAGCCATGAACAGTACTTCAACAACGTGTTTGACAAAGAGTTTCTTCGGGATGCTCTTACAGTGGACTTCTTCCTGGGTGGGTTCCCTTGTCAGCCCTTTAGCCTGCAGGGCCTAGGGCAAGGAGTGGCTGATGAAGCGAATGGTACGGTGATCTATGAGCTGTTGAAGTACATCAAAGAGCGGCAACCCACAACGTTTGTCTTGGAGAATGTGAAGGGGCTCTTGACCCAACATCCACAAGTGCTGATGGAAATTATGAAGCACCTTCGTGGCTTGAAGGTGACGGGAACCAGAAAGCCTTTGTACACGGTGCTGTGCAAGTGCCTGAGTGCCCGCAATCACGGCTTGCCTCAGAACCGCGAGAGAATCGTGGTGATTGGGATGCTGAACGCCAAGAAAACCCATGACTTTGCTTGGCCCATGTCTGCCCCTAAGTCGAATTTGATTTCTGGAATTGCGTTTTTGTTGTTTATCCCTTCGCTTATTTATTGAAACACAGCTTGTTGGTTGTTTTAGTTTCCACCGTTTTGCAGTGAGGTTGAGATGCAGCCGTTAACCCGCTTCATCAACGACAAGGATGTGGGAGATGAATCAGATTTGAACAGCCTCAACAAAACTGAGCTGAACAACCTACATGAGTCCTACCAGAAAATCCGTGCTGGGGGAGGCAAACCAACCCAGGGCTTCTATGTCGTTAACCCCTGGTGGCACATCCTCGCACTACAACCTGGGTTACTTGCCATGTTTGACAAGAAGCCGCTGTGGGAGCCGTGGGTACTGGTTGAGTTGTCGATTTGGGACCATGCCATTCCAAAAGACTCTGATATTCCAGCCCCTGCAAGTTCTGAGATAGAATGCCGCCGGCCAGAATGGCTACGGATATTCTGGCCATTAAGTAGGTCAGGATACTTTGCCACGAAACCATCACGATGTTTGCGAATGTGCCTGGCAACTATATCTTTTGTTATCGGCTTCCCTTTTCCTTTCCCTGAGGCAGGGAAGACATACCCTGATTTCGGCCATTTCCATCCGGTTCCGCCTGTCTTCTTCCATTCTTTGATCATTGCCACTGTTGATGGAAGGATAGGTTTCCATATGGCTTTATGCTTCTTGAACTTGTCCAGCCAAACACGGTTCCTCCTCAAGTCGACGTGCTCAGCTTTCAGCCGACAGACCTGAGTGACTCGAACACATAGAGACTCGATCAAGCACACAATGATATAATACTTCAACTCCGCGTAGGTCTTCAAGTACTTTGTCCATTCTTTCCATGGCTGCCCCTGCAACGCGTGAGCGTGGCCAAGCTTCTTCCCCATGTTTGTCCACGCGCTCCAAGTCCTAGGTATTTAACTTGAATGTCATAGGCTCGTGTTTGGGCTAGTAATAATGATACCATCATGCTGAGGATCTTGGGAACATATCGGTGCTGAGCAAGCGCCTGCGGAACAAACCTTTTTCGCCGCATAATGTACCTTTCACTAGCTTGGTGCTGAACAAGCGCCATTTTTTGAATTCCAGCCAAGGATAATGATGGCGCTTGCGCAGCGCCCTTACGTGGCAATTTTGCCAAGATTGAGGTTCGAGATCAGATGTCGTGTCATGTTGCTTCACTATTTTTTTGACTAGGTGCTGAGCAAGCGCCCGCAAGAGCCCAACCAGCTGGTGCTGAGCAAGCGCTTTTAGGTCCATGTCTGACTGGCCAGCCCAGAGCCCAGAGCCGCCGATCCTGCAGGTTCCACTGTCGCAGTGCTGGAAAAGCGCTTTTCAGATAAGTGACTGGTGCTGAGGAAGCGCCGCTGAAAACCAGTTGTCAAACTCTGCTGTTTTTCCATCTCAAGATGGAGTGGGGCGCGGACAGCGAAGGGCGCTGGGTTTGGCACCCATGGTCTGGGCCAGGGAGTGACGGAGGGCTCGGCAACAGCCGCAGCAACCGGCAGAACGCGTGCCGCGAGCAGCGGTTGGAGAGGCGGCAGCTCCAGCAGCAGCTCCAGCAGCAGCAGCAGCAGCAGTTCCAGCAGCAGCTCCAGCAAGCGCAACAGGGCCTGGCCGGCTGCAAGCACGAAAATGAGCAACTGCAACAGCAGATGCTGCAGTCCAGGCAGTGCCACAAGAGCAGCTCCAGCACTCAGAACGGCGGCTGCAGCAGACCGGGCAGCAGATCGTCCAACTGCAATGGGATGTGCAGCAGCTCAATGACCAGAGGAAGAACCTGGAGGACATCGGGTCGTGTGCTGGGTTAAAAAAACTGACGTGAGTTCATAATTGCCGTGGTGCTGCGCAAGCGCTACTTACATGGTTAAAACATGTTGCTGGTTTTCATTTTTTCATATTGGACCGGTGCTGAATAAGCGTCGGCGCCAAACAAGCCTAAGCACGGCCATCCTGCAGGACCGCTACCACAGCTGCAAAACGCAGCTCCGTGAAACGCAGATGAAGAACCGCCAGCTGCTGGAGAAGATGGATGAGATAAAAAAGAGCCAAGAGGAGAAAGACAAACAAGAAAAGGAACGGAAAGAAGAGAAAGATAGGAAGAAAAGAAGGAAAAAGGAGGAGGAGGAGGGGGGAGTGCGATGGCGAGCCCCCGAAGAAGGAAAAGAAGGACAAAGGAGGAGCTTCACGGAAGCAGGAAAAGACGAACGAAAAGAATGAAAGCAAAGCGGATGAGGGCGACCGAGGAGCCTCAAATAAGGAGGAAAAGAAGAAGGCCGACGGGAGAGGCTCACAGGACGACGAAAAGAAGAAAGAGCTGAGGGCGCCGGTGAGTCTGAGTAGAGCCCGCCACGCCAGTCCGGGCGGGGTCCAGTTTGTGAAAAAGCACAATCAACAAAGACTACGGTACCAACAACCACCAGTTCAGTGCTGTTGAGGCTGCTGCGATTCCGGCAACGGACCTACCGTCGCCACGTTTCAAGGCAAAAACTTGCCAACGGCATCTTCAAATGCTACGAAAAAATGCTGCTTTCCGGTGCTGAACAAGCGCTGCAATTCCCCACCACTGAGTCGACTACCACCCGTTGATTTTCTATAGGCAGAGGGGTTTGTCCAACGCCTTTTCAGTTTCCGGGTGCTGAAAAAGCGCTCAGTTCCCAACCGCCGCAACTAACAGGTTTTTACCAGGTGCTGAAAAAGCGCCGAGGTTGCCAACCACCCCAACAGGTTTTCCAGGTCCTGGTCGCTGCGTTGCCAAGGTCCCGTTGGCATTGGCGCTGGGCCTGACGTCTCGCACTGCGGATCTCAGAAAAGGGTTCGGAAAAGGGCAAGGCCATAGGCGTGAAATATGGATTGCTAAAATTGAAGTACGGGCTTTGCTGCGCGCAAAAATGTTGCGGTTCAGCTTTTTTACATGTAATTTTAGCTTCCCCGGCGGCCCCCGAAGACTATTTTAAGCTTTGCCAAAATCCCATGGTTTTTGCAAGGTTATTTAGCCCTGGGTCCACAAAAGCCTCAAAAATGTAGGGTTTTTCACCCTCGAACTACCATGGACCTTTTTGGGGTTCTGATTTTTGCGGGGTTATTCATGCCTAGGTCCACGGAAGCCTCAAAAATGTGGATTTCTTGATCTGGACAAGGTGTCTTTCCCATATTAAAAGCTGCATTTGTGCCCAACTTGTGGATTGCGCCAAAATATGAACTGGTTTGACAGTTCACTAACAGACAGAAATCTTTCCACATCTGGCACCCTCACGGGGGTGCCAGATGGCAACCCCTCAAGATGAGTGCCAAAATCCGGGACGGGTCGCTGGCTGGGACCCCTAAAATGCAGTTAAGATGGGCATGTTTTCTATAATGACTGTACGAATGACCCATGTCAATCAATGACAACGGCCCCGCAATCATGTATGTATGCACGGGCTGCGCCCTTCACATGGCACGCAATGATGAAAATTCAAATGTTCATGAACATACAAGTTGGTTCTAAGAATAGGGTTCGCGTACTGTGAATAGTTGCCTCAATGAAGGGTCTTCGGCTCCTCTCTTGGCCAACCGCTTCAACGTCAAATTTGTTCAATCATCCATACCAAACAGTTGTTCAATCATCCTCAAATGGGTTGATGGTAAGTAAGCGCGTGTTTACGAACATCTGTTTTTTTCTTCTAAAGAAATGGCATAAAGAAATGGCATGGTGCTGCGGACGCGCCCCCCAATTCTGTGTAATTACTTCTTGAGCTGAAAATCAAGATGCGCATCCCCTGGTATTGCAAACTTCACTTCAATGTCTTGGATTGCAAATGATTTCGTTGTTTTGCATTCTGGTTCCCACTGCCATCAAGTTTGGTTGCGTTCGAAACTGACTGTATCAATACTTAAGATGAGTGCTGAAAAAGCGCTAACAAATGATGTTTCATGTTCCATGACGTTAGTTCCATGATGTCCCCAAAAATAATTGCTTGTTCCATGATGTCCATGCACTGGCGCTTATGCAGCGCCAAGCAGATGGCGCTTACCCAGCACCATCTGCTGGCGCGTGTGCAGCTCCAAGC